GTTTCGCAGGCTTATGGAGAAATTGGCTAAAAATGTCAGCACCTGAATGAAATATTTTTTTGAAAAACATGTATTTTTCCTTTTGGACTGAAGAAGGATTTTTTAAACTTTCCATTATATCGGACCATTACTCTTTATTTGCTTTGTTTAAAAAAAAAAAACATACTTGGTAGTTTCAGCTCTTACTGCACTTCTTCTGGCCCATCTAAGTCTTAAGATGCACCAATTAATATATAATTTAAAACAAGCTTGTCTTATTTTCAGGTATTACACAGGGAAAGCGATTTGTAAACTGGGAGAACAGACATGACTTTAACTCCAAGTAGCATTACTAATAAAATATCCAAAAATAAACGTATACTAAGTTGTAACACTTCTGTAATAAACTAGATCAAGTACGTAACTGGCTGTGGACAAAATTCAGCCATAATTCTAGACTTTCAGTGACTTGGAGCCAACCAGTGATTTCATAGGACCATAATATTAATAACATTCAAAATGTTTTTCTATCATGGGGAGAAGAAACTGAAGGGGTGGGGAAGAGGAGAAGAATGATTGGTCATCTATAAAGCCACTATGATTGCTGCTGAAGGTGCATGAGGAATGATTCACGCATCCGCAGACAAAACAGACCTATTGCCTTCTGCCAAACATGACAAATTTGCCATCTGCTAGAAGAATCTTCCTAGCACTTCGGTGATGTGTAGGTTTTAAAGTAGCTTGTCATCATGAGATGTTTTCTGTTCTTTCGACAATGCTGTTGGTGAACTGATGACGACACTTTATAACTCTGTTTTCCACAGGCTTATTATTTCCCCCTCCTCCTGTGCTTTATTACTGTGTAATGGGGTGCATCAGTCCTTCACGGCTAGTGAGGGAAGCTTCTGGGGCCAGCACTATCCCATTTCAGGGGTTTCTGGAAAAGATGCATCTGTGGGACATGGGCTTCGTTAGTACAAGAGGTTTTTGAAGTGGTAATTGAAGATTTGCAGGAGACATGCAGACTGACGGTTAGGGCCCTGTAGACTTCAATCACAATGTAAGATGAGCTGTAACTCTCCTCCACTTCCTTCAGTGTGATGGAGTTTCTGGTAACAGTAGTGCTCTGGCAGCCACGTGCAGTCCCAAGGTAGGCAAGGCATTCTGGCAGAAGGGACTGTATAAATTCTGTCACCCCTCCCAAAGAGGTAGGGGGAAGCTGCAGGAACTGAGAAGCCTCTCCTGCAAAAAAGGAGCAACCAGCTCCCACACACTGTTGTCTAGTTCCTTTCCCTGTAGGAAAGGACTGAGATGGACCTCTGAATATGAGTGGGAGAACCATACTAACTACAGAGCATACATTGAAAAGAGAGGCTTTGCATCAGCTCTCTCTGGGGAGGGGCTGTGCTAATATCAGAAACACCAAGGAAAGTCTTTGATGGGGATTTGTAAAAACAAAAACAACACTTCTTGGGTATGGCTCTCTAGTTTAGCCTGCAACATATCCTTTGACTTTTTTTTTTTATAAAAGGGGAAAAAGTGGGTAAAGGATCAGTAACTCACTTTATATACCTCTGTAAGCAGAGTCCCAGGGGAGCCACACTGTGGCTACTAAATTAGAGCAAACTGCAAAGAATGGGGCACACAATCCCCAAAGCTGGTGAATATTCCAATAGGATATTCCAATTTACCAAGCCAGCACAAAACAGCTTCTATAATACCTTCCTGGTTACCCAAAAGTCAAGAACGCAGTTCCCTTAGAGCAGTGGTTCCCAAACTAGAGGCACTGCTTGTTCAGGGAAAGCCCCTGGCAGGCCGGGCTAGTTTGTTTACCTGCCACGTCCGCAGATTCGGCCGATCGCAGCTCCCACTGGCTGCGGTTTGCCGCTCTAGGCCAATGGGGGCTGCGGGAAGGGCAGGAGGATCCTGTTATGGTCCTGCAGGAGAGGGAAAGGAACAGTGCTTGGCCTGAATGTTTGACATTTGAGTTCTAAATATCACTAGTGACGTTTGTGCAAAACACTTAAAAAAAAAAAAAGTCTTACACCTGCAATCCTGGGAACTGGCACTCTGGTTGAGTGGAAGGCTTTGCACCGCTAAGAGAAATTCTTTCACCCAACTGCACAGTTACTGTTACGACAGTTGCAAAGACCCCCCTCTTGCTGCCTTTGCCCCACATATCCCTAGAGGACAATTGCTGGAGGATCCTCATAATGACTGGTTCCCACATTGCATCCTCTCTTTTGCTATGGTCCTAAACCCTCTCGTGTGTGGCTGCTTGTGGCATCCTATAGAACAAGGCTTGATGTGATAAGGTAGTCTGCATCCCTGCATTGCCCCTCTCCAGTCTGATGCCTTTGCACAGCAGAACTGCATTGGTTCTGATGTATGAAAGACTCTCCACAGTGCAGAGGAAGGGGAGGAATTTCCCTCCAAAAGGAAGAGGGGAAAGGGAATGTTTTAAGTATAAAAGCTTCTTTAAGGGTCAATAAAATGTCAAGGGAGCGGGTCCCATGTAATTTTATACTAAAATTGTGTAGTCTAGAAAAAACAAGAAATGGTCATTGGCAGGGCCAAATCTCAACAACGGTCTCTGTTAATGCCAATTCAGGGACATGGCTCCCATTATTTTTGTCTTTTTGGGGGTTCTTTGCCATGCCTTAAGGGACACCACAACTAAAAATAAGCAAAATAATCACAATTAACTTTCTTTTTTTATTAAGTAAAATAAAACATTAAACAGAACACAAGCAAACAATAGGGACTTCAGTTACAATCTTTGAGAGCTTTTAATAGAGGCTATTCTCCCATTGCTGTAGTAAATCTACCTCCCCGAGATGTGGTACCTAGGTCTGACCTAATGTTTAATTACATTCAAAAATTCATATGCTTGTTTTGTTAATATGTTTGCTGTTGAAGAAAAAAATCCAGAATACATAGCATTGTTTTATTTAACTAAAAAAAGAATTTAAATGTCTGTCTGATGACGTTCTCTTCCTAGTACAGCATGGCAAGAAAATCCTCCAAATATTGATTAACTTGTTGAATTGGAGATAGTTCACTACCCAATGACTTCATAAATATCTGCTTCAATTGAAATAACAAAACAAATGAAATAACAAAACAATCATTCATTTTCTGATACAGCTGTAAGACTAATCTGAAAAGTTTTCAAAATAAATCACTTAAAAATGTATAGTGTATACCTTCCAAAATGAAACCCACATCTATCTCTGCATTGTGAAAAATATGTATTAAGGTTATAGCAACCAACAAGAATTCACTTTTATGTAGAAATCCATGATTAAATTGAGTCTTCCTGACTAGTGATTTAAATCAAATCCACCCTGGCTCAAAAAGAAAAAAATGAGTCTTAAGTCCCTTTGTAAATCCCACCCTTAAGTGCTGCAATGCTCAGCATCGCAGCACCTAACTTTTAGGTCCTTTACTGCCTAGCTGCATTCACACCCCTCAGTGATGTGTCAGCCCTCTCCCCCCCATACAATGCAGGGGAAGAGTTAGGTGTGTAAGAATGGAATTCATAAAAGGCAGTACACTGAGTTGAGAGCCACCCAAATTAGATAGTACGAAAGGGTGTGCCATATCTGCTCTCTAGTTTTACCACCACCATGAACCTTCTGGCCGTAGGCACCTAAACCAATTCAGTCCTTGTTAATGAAGGGTGGAGGAGGAAGTGGTGCACCATTCTCTCTCTCTTTTAGCCCAGCAGTTAGGGCACTCACCCAGGATGTGGGAAACCTGTGATCAATTTCCCCCAAATGATGTGGAGAAGGGATTTGTAGGGTCTCCCAGGAGGGCCCTAGCTCTGGGATATTCTGGGGCAGGTCTCTTCTGTTCCACTGTGTATAAACTGTTAAATATTCAGGGGGCCAGAGCAAGTGAAGATGAGGCTACAGCTCAAGGAGTAGGGCACTTTGCTGGGAGACCCACATTCCATTTCCTCTGCTCCGAGAAGTGGTAGTTAGGTGCCTAAAATCCCCTAGTGACCCCTGTGCTATCAGTACACCAGAGGGCAATGAAAGCAAGAGGATGATTCTACTCCGGCTTTACTACCAAATATCAGTCCATCAATGCATGTTCGTTCCGTCAGAAAAGATTGACAATGTCTATTATTCTAAATAGCAGCTATTAAATGATGCTTGTCAGATAACAACCCTTTGTGATTATGGCACTGCTTTTCACTTTTATATATGATCTATCTGTATCAGGAAAAAAATTCCTAGAGGGATGATTGCATCAGCATTGTCTTCTTCAAAGAAATATACAATAAAAGGGAGTTGAACACAGTGTATATCTCACTGCCTATCCCCTAGATGGACAGCAATGCTTTGCAGAAACAAGATAAAACCCAAAGCTGCAAGCCATTAATTAAATATAATATTGGCATCCTACAGGCACCTACTCCGAAGCACACACTGTTCAGCTGGATGATAAGACAACACATTATTAGATACACGGCTTCTTCACATGACACTTAAGAGGCCTCTGAAATAGCGAAGATCAGTGCCTCTGGCAGAGTGCTAGGCACGGCAACTTGCACTCCCGGCAGCCACAGCTAGGACACTAGACTTAGCAGCAGGCAACGTAGCAGGATAATTACCCCCTCCCCCTCCGACCCAGACCCACGGTGCTAGGCTCCCTTGCACCCGTGGAGGGTTTGGCCTAGTGTCTCCCCTTCCCCATGATCGCCCTGTTCAGCTCCTGGGCTCCGCCTGACCCCGCGGGGCACTGCAGGGGCAGCGGCCTCGCTTTGCGAACGGGCACGTGCGGAGGCTTCCCACCCGCTGGCTGGAGGCCGGGCCGCTTCTGCTGCCCCGCAGGCTCCGGAGCCGGCTCTGCCGCGGCCCGATCCCCGCGCACGGGCCGGCCCGAGCCGCAGCCGCCTCCCGCCCCCGAGCCAGCGCCGCTCCCGCAGCCAATAGCGGGGATGCTGCAGGAGGAGCAGCCGCGGCTCCCATCTCCGCCCCGGGGGTCTGCCGGCGGCCCGGATCCTCCCACTGCCGCTAAGCTCATAAAGCCCCCGCCCGCCCTGGGGCGGCCCTTTGCCTATTGCCCTGAGCGGAGGAGGAGACGGGCGGCCCACTGCTGCAGCGGCTGGAGGCGGAGAGCTCGCGAGGGGGGCTTCGGTGCCCCCTCCCCGGCAGCGCCTCCTTCTCCGCGGCGCCCGGCGCCTCCCGTGGCGCGGGGGGGCGTGACCGGCCGCGGCGGGGCAAACGGGAGCTGCTGGCGGCGCGTCCCACTGGAGGGGCGAAGATGGCGCTGAACGGCAGCAGGCAGCCCCCCAGCCTCCTCTTCCTGCTGGCTCTGGTTCTCCCGCTAGCGCCGCCAAGCCGGGCAGCGGACACAGCGCTGCCCCCCATCCCCGCAGGTGAGTGAGGCGGGCGGGAGGCCGCTCCAGCCCCTCTTCGTGCGCGCCGGGAGGGCTCAGGGCTCATTCATTCATGACCGGCCCCGCTGCAAGAGACACGGGGAAATTGCCCGCCCGCCCGGCTGAGCTGCCGCAGGCTCGCCAGGTCCCTTCCGACTCGCGGTGAATTCTCGGCGCTTGGGGGTGTTGCAGCGAGAGGCGAACTGGAAGTTGGGAGGAAACTTGGAAAGTTAGTTGCCCCTCCCCCGGTGGTGGCTGGAGGACGATGATTTATAGGTAGCTGTGGTTTGATGAGACGTTGAAAACTCTCCGATGGTTCTCTCGGCTTGGCGCTGCTAAGCCCCGTTGTTGAAATGCTCTCCAAGAGCATCGCCAGCTCTGGCTTTGGGCTTGTGCGTTTCAGCGGAATTGGTTGCTCGTGTGTTCTGCTTACTCCCCAGTGCAAGATCCGTCTGAAAGATCAACCTCCTCCAGGCTCTTGGGTGACTTGCCCTAGGTGACCGCTTTATACTGAAACAGGGAACTCTTTTTTTTTTTTTAAAAAAAAGGAAATGTTTTTAAATCTCTGAAACAGTTTTATTTGGAGGCAGGAGTAGCTCTTTCTTCATGGTGCATGAATATCTACTGATCATGAAAATCCTGCTGGGGAGAACTATTCAAAGATCTCCCAGTTTTTGAATAGCAAGTGGATAAATAGAGGGTCATAATGTATTTAGCAAACAGTAAGGCAAACCACACAAATATAGACATACACTGGCTGAAAAGCTAATGTCCAAAGCCAGGATCTTCCCCCATGGGGGAAGAGATTTGCCCCTCTCTTCCCCTTTCCCTGTTAAGTAATCAGTCATAGAATCATAGAATATCAGAGTTGGAAGAGACCTCAGGAGGTCATCTAGTCCAACCCTCTGCTCAAAGCAGGACCAATCCCCAATTTTTGCCCCAGATCCCTAAATGGCCCCCTCAGGGATTGAACTCAGAACCCTGGGTTTAGCAGGCCAGTGCTCAAACCACCAGTTCTCCTTCCTCTCCCCCATGAATAGCCTGAGATTCCTGACAAGGTGTTGATGGGCCACATACTTCTTAGCTCCTGGAAGAGCAGATGGTGCCACTCACTGATGACCCAACTTAGTAACTTACATCCAGTGAAGCTACGCTACTTAGTTTCTTCATAAGAGTTTTCTCCTAGCTGAACACATTGGAAGGCTGAGCTCCCTCCCTTTCGTTCCAAAGCTTGTTCACGTTCTGCCGCTTGAATGTTGTAATGTTCCAAGAAGCTAGACGGCAGCAAGAAATTCAATCCTTAGTGTTTCAGAGTAGCAGCCATGTTAGTCTGTATCCGCCAAAAGAAAAGGAGTTAGTCTCTAAGGCACCACAAGTACTCCTTTTCTTTTTGCGAATCCTTTGTGAGTAAAACAATAGCAAAAAGAATTTATGCCCAAAACCGGTTGAAAAAGGGGTCGGAAGCGTCTGTCAAAATACTGCCTGTGCTTCCAGGGAGTCACTTGTTACAGGTTTGCTGTAATTTTGAACCTCTCACTGGATCTTGCATGGGAAAGGTATCCTATCCTGCTAGATGGATTTCACATGGTGATAAAAATAGGTAGTCTTGACAAGTTCAAAGCGATAATAAGGTTATTTTAGTGCCTGGTTTAATTCTCTCAGTATGCAGAAGAAAAGTTTTTAGGGAGTGAGTCTTGTAAATCTCACCCCGTTTGATGAGACTGTATCGGGTAAGGTTGTTGGGAGCTTGAGTAATAACTAATGTAACAAAATCTTGTGTTGACCTATACCAGACTGTAGACGTGTGAACCTGCTCATCTGTAGCTTCCTTATATGGACAGTGCTGGCCTTGTTAGCTTGCGATTCTGGCTTTAGTCCTGTTAGTGATTTCCTACAAAGCTGCTCTGTGCACAGTTTATTGCAGTCGGTCAGAGGCTCTGTGTGTGTGTGTGTGTGTGTGTGTGTGCACACGCACTGACACTGCTGTTTTTATATTAGTCAGCAGTGTGTGTCAATTTACAGCAAACTGCTTGCATTTCATTCCATTCCAAGTACACTTCCTATAAAAGCACCTTTTCAAACTGTAATATGTGTCTATTTTATTAACTGAGATAAATAAGTGTTTCAGGGTGGGTGTTAGAGGTAGGATCTCAAGTTTTAACGGATAGTTAGTGTTGTACTATGATCTAACAGGTTTCAGAGTAGCAGCCGTGTTAGTCTGTATTTGCAAAAAGAAAAGGAGGACTAGTGGCACCTTAGAGACTAACCAATTTATTTGAGCATAAGCTTTCGTGAGCTACAGCTCACTGAATTGGATGCATTCAGTGGAAAATACAGGGATGAGATTTATATACACACAGAACATGAAAAAATGAGTGTTATCATACACACTGTAAGGAGAGTGATCACTTAAGATGAGCTATTACCAGCAGGAGAGCGGGGCAAGGGGAGAAAACCCTTTGTAGTGGTCATCAAGGTGGGTCATTCCATCAGTTAACAGGAACGTCTGAGGAACGGGGGGGGGGGGGGGGGAATAAATATGGGGAAATAGTTTTACTTTGTGTAATGACCCATCCACTCCCAGTCTCTATTCAAGCCTAAGTTAATTGTATCCAGTTTGCAAGTTAGTTCCAATTCAGCAGTCTCTCGTTGGAGTCTGTTTTTGAAGTCTTTTTGTTGTAATATTGCGACTTTTAGGTCTGTAAGCGAGTGACCAGAGATATTGAAGTGTTCTCCGACTGGTTTATGAATGTTATAATTCTTGACATCTGATTTGTGTCTGTTTATTCTTTTACGTAGAGACTGTCCAGTTTGACCAATGTACATGGCAGAGGGGCATTGCTGGCACATGATGGCATATATCACATTGGTAGATGTGCAGGTGAACGAGCCTCTGATAGTGTGGCTGATGTGATTAGGCCCTATGATGGTGTCCCCTGAATAGATATGTGGACAAAATTGGCAACGGGCTTTGTTGCAAGGATAGGTTCCTGGGTTAGTGGTTGTGTTGTGTGGTGTGTAGTTGCTGGTGAGTATTTGCTTCAGGTTGGGGGGCTGTCTGTAGGCAAGGACTGGCCTGTCTCCCAAGATTTGTGAGAGTGATGGGTCGTCCTTCAGGATAGGTTGTAGATCCCTGATGATGCAATCCACTGAATGCATCCAATGAAGTGAGCTGTAGCTCACGAAAGCTTTTGCTCAAATAAATTGGTTAGTCTCTAAGGTGCCACAAGTACTCCTTATGATCTAACAGAATACTTAACTAATTTGGTAGGGGCGTTACATTAACTAATCCTGGTGATAGCTCTGTGAAGTAGGATTGAACTATTAATTTTGAACAATACTAATAGAAAACAGTTATTTGTATTATGGAGGCTGCCACTTTTTTTAAAGTGTATTCTGGCTAACATGAAGATTAAGAAAATCTGTACTGAAGTATAACAGACTGCTGACTTGGAAGCTGCTCCTTGAGTTTCTTGATCCCAGACATATAGCAAGTTTGTTTGTTAGCTGCAGACTCCAGTTCTAACCGGCAGTGATTTTCCTGAGTTATTGAGTGCACATTTTATTGCCTTCTATTAAGTATGTTTTGCTGCTCAGTGAGAAATAGAACTTGACACGTCTCACTTTTGTGTTATATCAGTCTTGAGCTCAATTTCTAGGTTGCTGGTATTTTGTGGAACAGTATGTAATTTTCAGTGTGTAACACACAATTTTCAAAACATCAATATTACTTACATTGGAAATCATTTGTAACAGGAGTGAGGAAAAGTGGCTGCCAGATACTATCTTCCTCTATTATTTTCAAACATCGTCTTGATCAAAAAGGCCAATGTCTCATTAATACAGAATTACAAATGTTCATGAAGAGTGAAAAAAAAAAAGATAGTTAACAGACCAGAATTGTGCAGTTTATTGCAGCTAAAGTTACAAGAACTACACTGGGGGGTCAATTCTAGTTAAAACAAAAACTCTTCTCCCTCCATCTCCTCCCCTCGTCCCCCCCCGAAAACTCAGCTATTTTTTTCAGCCATAAAAAAAAAGTACATAAGGACCATTATTGTCCCAATTGGGTACATAATACTGAGCGAAGTTGAAATCAGTATCTAACTCAGTCCACTCTGTGCATGATGAAGCCACAGTTTGATGTCAAGACATTTCTTGTTGTGTCAAACTTAGTAAATATCTACATCTTGTCATCTAATGTAACCCACCCAAGTGAGTTAGGACACCTGTAGGCTTCAGCAGGAATTTTATGGATTGCAGTGGAGTCTAAAACAGATTTAAGTTGCTAAATCTGGTGTTTAGGCACCTAGGTACCTCGTAGTCTTTTGGATCCTGATCCACAGTTGACTTGTCCAAGATCACACTGGAAATCTGGCATAGCAGGGAATTGTATTTGGGTCTCCTGAGTGTCAGGCTGCTGCCCTAAACCACTGGATTGCCCAGCAAAAATTACTTATGTGAAAAATCCCTATTTTTGTGAGTAAAGCCACTGAAGTCAGTGTGGGCTGCTCCCATGTGAAATGATTATTTGCGGATGTGTTGGCAAGATCTGGCCCTGAATTAGATTAAAACATGCAGAATGATAACTGACTACTGTGGGTGTGCAGCAGGGAAGTGTGTGTGTGTCTGAAGATAACCATAAATAAATAAACATGGTTGCTCTTGGAGTGCTGCTCAGAAAAGTTGCCTTTGTGTCACATTTCTAGTTACTTTTTAACTTTAAATATTGTTGGATTAACTTTGAAAGGCTTCCCTGGCAAAATAATTTTGACACATTTTGCAAGCCTTTTATAGCATTCAGGATACGTGACATAATGAGGGTGGAGTGTGTTAACGTGCGTAGTAAGTGCTTTGATGTATGCTAGTTAGTGCTGGAAATTTCAAATCATCTTAGATTTATAGACTAAGACAAGATTTTGCCACCCTTCTTCACGTTGAGAAACAACTTAGTGTGCAACTAGTTCCATTGATTTCATTGTGCAACTTGCAAGTGTGGC